TGCCCCTTCAGGTGTGTCTCAGGTAGACGCGGTCGAGCCTGTCGAGGTCACTGGTGACTCTGGTGCTGCTGCAGGTGCGGAGCCTCGGGGTGCTGAGCCTGGGGGTGCTGAGACTGGGGGTGGTGAGCCTGGGGGTGCTGAGCCTGGGGGTGCTGAGCCTGGGGGTGCTGAGCCTGGGGGTGCTGAGCCTGGGGGTGCTGAGCCTGGGGGTGCTGAGCCTGGGGGTGCTGAGCCTGGGAGTACTGCGTCTGGGGGTGCTTCGCTTGGGAGTGCTGCGCCTGCTGCTTCTGTTCCTGGTGGTTCTCCGGACCGTTCTTCGCGCCGCGAGCTGCTCTCTCCTCTAGAGCTGCGTGAGTGGTTTGCCCGGCGCTGGAGGCGAGCTGCTGGAGCTGGGGGTGCTGCGGGTGCTGGAAGTTCTGTTGCTGCCGAGGGAGCTGGTACCACGGGTCCCGGAGGTGCTCGTACTGAGAGTATTGGAGCTGCCGGGCCCGGGGATGCCTCTGGAGCTGGAGCTGCTGCGGGTGCTGGCGCTGAGTCTACGACTTTCGGTCCTACTGAGGGTACTTCTGGCGCTGCTGGAGGTGCTGGAGTTGGAGCTGCTACTGGTGCTGGTGCTGCCTCTGGAGGTATTGGTGCTGTCCCTGCTGTCTCTGGCGGTGCTGCGCGGCCTCGGCCGTACTTCGTTCCGCTCCTTCAGCAGGTTCTTGGTCTCCCGCCTTCCACTGGTCCTTCTCCTCCCGTAGAGTGTCCACAGCCTGTCCCGTCGCAGTCACAGTTACAGCCCGCCTCTCCCCTGCCTTCTCCTTCTCCCTACACTGGTCGTACTGGAGGTCTTGCTGAGCGTCGTGAGCCTGCGTCCCGCCCTGCGTCGCCAGTCCGAGCTGCTCGCCCTAGTGGTCGCGGTTCGCGTCAGCGTCCTCCTCCTGTCCCTGGCACACACAGGATGTCTCTGCGTCCGTCCACTGCTCCTCTGCGTGCCCCTTTGCCTTCTCCTCCTCAGTCTTCTCTTCCTACACTTGCCGACCCGGAGTCGGACTCTTGCCGTGCTGCCAGTCCTACTTTCACGCGTCTTCTTGCTACTGTTGTCACTGACCCTTCCTTTGAGTCCGCTGCTGCGTCTGCGCTAGTTGCTGAGCTGGTCAACTTTGCTGCTGCGTGTCGTCTAGACTACGCTGCCAGTCTTGTTGCTGAGTCTGCTGAGTCTGCGTCTGCTGCGTCGGCGTCTGCCTGTTCTCCGTCCATCAAGGGTGACTGTGCTCTTGGCACGGACGTCCTTGAGGACAGGCAGGAGGAGTTCCAGTGCTTTGCCGCCGCTTTGCCCCATCTCGTGTCCATGCTTGTTGCCCCTGAGGGAGACCCGGATGCTCTAGACATCCCGACCCCACGCTCTTACGCAGAGGCGATGGCCGGTCCCTACTCCTCTCAGTGGCAGTCAGCCATGGACGCAGAGATGGCTTCATGGAAGTCCACAGGCACCTACGTCGAAGAGGTTCCCCCACCTGGGGCGAACATTGTCAGTGGCATGTGGATTTTCAGGGTGAAGCGGCCGCCGGGTTCTCCGCCTGTCTTCAAGGCGCGCTACGTGGCTCGTGGCTTCAGTCAGCGACAGGGAGTTGACTTCTTTCAGACCTTCTCCCCGACCCCGAAGATGACCACTCTTCGGGTTCTACTGCATGTCGCTGCTCAGCGTGACTACGAGCTACACTCTCTTGACTTCAGCACTGCTTTCCTGCAGGGCCGCCTGCACGAGGAGATCTGGCTGCGCCGCCCTCCTGGCTTCACTGGGTCGTTCCCTCCTGGTACCCAGTGGAGCCTCCGGCGGCCAGTCTACGGTCTCCGCCAGGCGCCGCGTGAGTGGCACGACACACTGAGGACTACACTTGCGGCTCTTGGGTTTGCTCCTTCTACTGCTGACCCGTCGCTGTTTCTACGCACCGACACCTCGCTGCCGCCGTTCTACATCCTCGTGTACGTCGACGACTTGGTCTTTGCCACTGCGGACACTGCCGCACTCGCCCACGTGAAGTCCGAGCTGCAGAAGAGACACACGTGCACAGACCTGGGTGAACTGACAAGCTATCTTGGCTTGCGGATCACCCGGGACAGAGCACGCCGCACCATTACCCTGACTCAGTCACACATGGTGCAGCAGGTCCTTCAGTGCTTCGGCTTCACGTACTCCTCGCCTCAGTCCACTCCTCTGCCTACGGGACACTCGCTCTCAGCTCTGCCTTCGGATGAGTCCGTAGAGTCGAGTGGTCCGTATCCAGAGCTTGTGGGCTGCCTCATGTACCTGATGACCTGCACTCGACCTGACCTCGCATACCCTCTCAGCATCTTAGCACGCTATGTTGCTCCCGGCCGTCACCGGAAGGAGCACATGGATGCAGCTAAGAGGGTGTTGCGCTACTTGTGCAGTACGTCGGGCATGGGGCTAGTGCTTGGAGGGCGAGAGCGGCCTGTGCTCACTGGGCACTCAGAAGCTTCTTGGGCTGACGACCAGGCTACTCAGCGGTCGTCTCAGGGTTACACCTTCAGTCTTGGTTCTGGCTCTGTCTCTTGGCGCTCTACTCGCTTTTTTCTGTTCTCAGCTCCAGCTGTGAGGCTGAGATCTACGCCACGGCCATGGCTGCCCAGGAGCTTCGCAGCCTCACCTACCTGCTGACTGACCTTGGAGAGCGGCCTCGTTCTCCTCCAGTGCTGTACGTCGACAACAAGGCAACCATTGCCTTGTGTCAGGAGCACAGACTGGAGCACAGGACGAAGCACATTGCTCTGATACCATGTCGAGATTAGAGAGAAAAATGAGTGCACTATGGAATGAAATCAAGGATACAAGTACCAACCCTAATTGGGTTGTACCCCCTATGGTCTACCCCAACAGCAGCCTACAATACATGCATCAGCTAAATATAATCTGACATAACTCTATCTTGTGGTCGTGCGGTCGCTGAGGTGGCAGTCACGTCGGTATATCGTCTGGGAAAATGTCGCTGTACTGCTTCAACAGTGCTGCCAGATCACTCGGTACGTCGGCCAGCAGATTCTGTAAATCCCCTCCTTTGTCTGCTGCCTCGGCTTCCCGAATGTCGACCGCGTACACGACAGCTCCTGCCGCTACGGCGCGTTTCATCGTGATCTCGTTGACACGCACCGATGAAGACTCAGTTGAGCCCCAGCGAGGTAAGGCGATGTTGTTACCGTTCGCTCGCACGGTGCAATCACCCGTCGTCCAGTCGATTCGCGGATTGTGTCGTCGTAGCCAATCACGCCCCAAGTAAAATATCGGTTCCGTCGAGGGTCGTTGCGAGCATTTCCTGGCTAAACGTGAAGTTACCCCCACATCGAATCCGAACCCGGTCTACGCGTTCCCGTATCGCCAGCGGCGTGCCGTCTACCAGTCTTGCGTCGATCTCAAGTAAACAACTGTCCAGTGGCAGTCGCAGTTTTCGTGCTGTGGTAGTGTTGATGAGGCTGTGGCTGGCTCCCCCGTCTACGAAGATTTTTACTAAGTCCGTCCCGATTTTCCCACTAAGCAGTATAGGGCTGTCTACCGTAGTACCCTCCTTATTCGGCCGAGTGTGATCGATTGCGTGAACCGGCACAATCACTCGGTGAGGGTCAGTTGGGTCGGGCGAGCGGCGTGACCTGTCAGTAGAGGGCCCGCCTGCTACTGACTCCCAGCGTTTCCCTGCTGCTTGGTCTGCTTCTGCTGCTCAGCTTCCCCCTTTCCCTTAGCGTTTTCCGGGCATTCGCTCTTGCGATGTCCCGGCCGATTGCACGCAAAGCAGCGCCCTTTGAACGGTGCGGCAGCGGCATTTGCGGCGACGGCACGTATCGTGGCGCCCTCGTTTGTCCCACGAGGCCGATGTCCCCAATGGCTGCTTCCGTAGGACCCCGGTCTCGGTCGGCGGAAGAAATCAAGTTTCTCCGCCATAGCGAGAATTTCTTGAAAGTCGGTGACGTCGCGAAGCTGGATTTCCTGAGCGATGTCCTGCTTCAGGCCGCCGATGTAGCGGTCGATGCGCTCGCTCTCGTGCATATATCCCACCTGCTCGCATAGCGCCAGAAATCCGCTCGTGTAGTTTTGGACGGAACCGAGTTGGCTCCAAGTGCGGAGCTTCTATCGCGTCGCGATCGAAGCCGGGATTGGCTCGAAACGAGCGCGCAGACCTGCGCACCACGCGTCCCACGTGCGATACTGGGGCACCTCCACGAAATACGACGGCGCCCAGGGTCCGGTTTGTCCTTCCCTTATCGATAGAGTCGCGTAGTCCGCCGGCTTCATGACGATGACGCGCCACCAGTCCATGGCGGGTCTCGCAGCAACGACACGGCGTAACGAATCTTCGCCGTATCCTCCGAGACGTAGTTCGCGTCGAAGAAAACGTTCAACGTGAAGAGCCACGCCTGAACGGTAGGACCACAAAGATGTGAGCGAAGGCATGAGCGAACATTTATACGCGAAACATGCAAACGGTAACGCGGTGCGTGCGAGCTAGCTAGTGCTATGCTGGCAGCGAGGCTCGGGCCAGTCCCGAAGCGTAGGCCGACACGGCCGGGCCAGCAGTGCGAGGTTTGGCAAAACAGTGCGCGCGAAGTTGGCGAAGTCCCGTTAGCAGTAACGGGCGAACAACGGCTGTTGCTGTACGCGATGTAGTCGGGCTCCGTAAGGAATGCCGAGAAAATTCCTTACAGGTACAAAATATCTTCTCACGATCGCCAACCATGACGCATGTATGCACCATTTCTTCAAAGACTGCATGCATGCATAAAGCACTGTTTCCGTTTTAAGCAAGAGGTTGCATCATGAAAAGGTAAAAGCAACTAACTCAAACTTCACATATAAAACCATGCTATACGAGACGAGCTTACGGTACTATTGAAGGTAAGTCATACTTGCATGACGATTGAGAGGGAACAAACTAATCCTAAGATATAACTACCGTATTTATATGTGCCCGCAAATCTGCTGAGGGCAACAATGCATGGATGTTATTTCAATAATGGAGGACATTTGGTAAAATGCTCATGATCTCATCTGCAGAGTCTGGTCGAAACGGCCGAGCAAACATGAAGCATGGCTTGGGTTGGCCATTCCATCTACAGGTTGTGGGGCTCTGCAGGAGTATTAAAAACAACGGGATTTGAAATCAACTGAGCATAATAGTGAACATGAATCGTCTGGCAAATAGACACTGCATGCCAGCCAAGATCTTTCTGAAGAGGAAAGTTACAGAACAGTGGTCTGAGCACAACGCTGGTAGAAAAGGTAAAGTTGAGTGAACTTACAATAACAGAATCTGCAATCTTATGGAAATATGTCGTTGCCTCTTGCATGTCCTGGATGAACCTCGAAGTGATGTTTACAGCACCATACTCCACCTCCTCCCACTCCCCCACCCGCTCAAGCATCTCCCTCCGCCCCTGCCACACCTCACCATCCCCCCCCTGACCCTCCTCTGCTCCTGCGCGCCTCATGGCGCCCTCCTCCCGCCGCTGCTGCCGCCGCCGCTTGCGCGTGCGCTGCAGGGCCTGTTCCCGCATGTGAGCGTGCACAGCAGCAGCGGTAGCCATGTGCGGCTCGTGGGTGATGGTGAAGTTGGCCACTCCATCGGGGTCTACTGTCTGGTGATCATTACAGGGGCGAGGGGGAAGGGGGAAGGGGGATGCGGGAAGGAGGAAGGGGAGAAGGGCGGGTGGGTAAGCAAGCAGTCTCCCACTGCATCCGATTGTCCCATCGCCAGCTCAACATCCCCTGGGGGACCTTTGTCAAGGCATCTGCGGTTGTGATACACAGCAGTGTTGTAATGATGGCGGTCTGGACGTGGGGGAACGAGCGGGGAAGATCCTGAGGAGTCAAAGAAATGCAAGACCTGAAGTAAGAAGCGGTGATGAGGGAGCAAAATGAAGGGGAAACAGAAGGGAGGTGGAACGCAAAATGGGGGAGGGGAAAGAGAAGGACACAAAAAATGGGGGGAAGAGATTGAGGCGAAGGGAGAGGGAAAGCGATGGGAGTGAGGACACGAAAGGAGGAAGAAAACGACAGGAGGGATAAGTCGAAGGCGCACCCTGAGGAAAGTAGCGATGTAGTGTTCGTCAGGCCGGCACGCTGGTGCTGCTGGTGGTGTGTGCGCTGCTGGCGACGAGGTGGAGGGCGCCCCACTGTTGCTCCCGCTAGACACTGCTGCCGTGCCCTGGTGATGGCGCACGTTAAAAAAGAAAGATGGGCGGAGAGATGAGGGATAATGAGTGTGAGATGCTGACTGGTTGGCATGAGGAGACATGAGGCTTGAAGAGGCAGGAGGTGAAGGAATCTGGGGAAGACGATGATGAGAGGAGAGGAGGGAAGAGCGAGAGGGTGTGAGGGGACACGGGGGGAGGGAGCGTACGGGGCAGTGCAGCTTGAAGGCGCGGTAGAACATGCTGTCTGCCACGATGGCCGTTGCATGCGGTCGGTTCACCGCCACCCACTGCCGCGCACAGGGTGGGATGGGGAAGAGAACCGCACGATGGGCGACGTCGAGTCGATGGTACACACAGCAAACTTGAAGCAGGAAACTGGAGATTGAGGAAAGCGAATGGCGAGGAAAGAAGCAGGCATTGGGCCGGCAGCAACGCCGTGTACCACTCCCAACCACGCCACGCGCACTGCTAGTATAGTACCTTGGAGCTCCGCGCAAACTTGTGCTGCGGAACGAGTGGAGCAAGCCCGCGCGGATATGCTGTCGGATCGTTCGCCCTGGGGGAATGGCAGGGAGAAGCAGGGTGCGGGGGGGAGGGGGAGGCGGGGGTGGAAGGGGCGCGGGACGAGTGGGGAGGGGATAAGGGGACAGGCTTGAGTGTGGTGGTGAGACGTGAAGGAGGGAGAGATTACGACGGAAATTTCAGTGAGAAAGGCGCGCACGGAGTGCCAGCATGTATATTAAATGCGTCGCTCATCCTTCTGAGAGACTTGCAAGCTTCAGGCACAACTGGGAGAACGAAGAGGGTGACGGGCGACTCACATGGCGACGAAGGAGTGGCGCGAGTGCAGCAACGACGAGTAGATGCGGCTGAAGCTCTGGATGGGGATGGCGCTGCGGTGAGAGGGACGACCAGGGAGAAGAGGGGACGGGAGAGTGAGGGGAGAGGTGAGTAGGTTGAGCGCGTGAGAGCACGTGCACTCGGGGGCGGCTGGCACGGCGTGGCGAGTGCGCCTGCTGGCCGTGTGATCGCGGGAAGCGGAGCGCGAGTAGAGGAAGGCGCGGGTGAGGATGACGACAAAATGCGTGGGGAAACGAAAAGGAAGATGGAAGCAAGGTGGAAAGAAGGAGAGCAGGGAGGGCGCACGTGTGGTGGAGGAAGAGGAAGAAGTGGTTGTCGCGGTCCAGCAGCGCCCATGCCAGCAGCCGCCTCTGCGCGTCCACCGCCGTTATCGCGCCCTCTTGCACCTGTGGGAGGAAGTGGCGGAAAGGAGGGATGGGAAGATGGGGAGAAGGTGGGTGAGGCAGACAAGAAAAGTGGTGGGAGAACACGAAAGGGAGGAGACGACGATGAGAAAGAGACACGCCGAAACGAAGCGACGCGCGGAGCGGAAGAAACGCCCTGAGAGAAAGAGCCGCGCGAAGAGGAACGGGCGCGCGGGGAGCAAGGGGCGTGCGGGGAGGAAGGGACACGCGGGGAGCAAGGAACGTGCGGGGAGGAAGGGACACTCAGGCAGGAAGGAACGTGCTGGGCGAAAGGAGGCACGAAAAAAAGAGGCACACGGCTTCTTCAGCTACCGGCTCGCGCCTTCCCTCCACCTCACCGCGCCCTCCGTCCCCGCTACCACACGCTCTACGCACACGAGGTGCGGAAATCGATCCGCCACGAATCTGCGCGTGCGCTCGGCCGGAACCCACTCAACCACGCTCCGCCACCCCAGCCACTCCCACACCCTGTCCATCATCCTCACTGCCGCGCTCTCGCCTCCCGATCGGCACGCTTGCCTATCTCCAGCCGCACTCTCTCACCGGAAGACTGGGGATGTCGTTTCGTCGAAGGAACCGGCCTTCGTCCGCGTTATAGCGCATCTCAGTGCCGCCCGTGTGCACGTAGACGGAGAAATTGCTGTTGTCGCCCTCGAGCTCCACCGAGCCTTTGAGCTCCGCCTGTAAGAACCGATCCCATACGCGCTTTAGAGGCAGGAGGCCCTGATCCGTTAAAAACAGTAGCGCTAATTTGGCGGTTCTCTTGCGATTCGTGAGAGGATTATGCGGCAGCGATAGCACGGACATGGTTACTGCCTTCTCCGCCACGTGTCGGTCTGGAACAGGCCGCCAGTCTGTACCTGCTGTTTCCACCCGTCTTCCCGCTGAACTCCGCCGCGCTTCCCGCGTGAAACGAAGTATGTGAACACCGAGATATCGCGAGGCGTAAAATTTGGGATGCAAAAGGAGTGTGGCGGCTTCGAACGTGGCGAACCAGAGCGCCAAAGCGATGCCGGCCGCTGCGAGGATGTAAACGAAAGTCTTCAATCGGTTATCCCATGCCGTTGACGTTCGCGAGAACGCAGAGGTGCTGCTCCCAACAGGCGATTTGGTGGAAACCAATGTCATGCCGGAGAACCGTCGAAGCTTGAATTACGCTGTGCTGTTTCGAGCTTAGGAACCCTTAGCCACGATCAGTTGAATTACGCTGTGCGGTCTAAACCCTTAGCCACGATCAGTTGAAGAAACGTAATAAACAATGTCTCCATGGCTTGTGGGAAATGCGGGTGCTGCGGTTCTAGCTTCACAATGCCCGCCCCAAAAAACAATAAAGCAATTTCTCTCCAACACATCGCGCCGCTTCTTCTGCCGAAATTCAGGCTGCCCAAACGAGCTCCTCCTTTTTGCGCGACGCGCTGCTAGACTGCCAAAATCTTCCGTTACAACAGTTTCTCGAAAAAAATGGGCTTCGAAACGAAGTCCTGCGAAATCTGAAATTTGCTGCCCGCTTCAGGCGCTCGTGTGGTTCGTTGGCTCCAGACTGTTACAAAGTATCAACAGCAGAATCGACCCTACATGCGCCCCCGAAGTGCGACAAGGGAAGGCGGAAGCAAATGGCTGTTGCGAAAACGCCATTGACAATTGACGGGACAAGCGAAATGAGTTGTGCCCATTTCAACGGTTCAGAAGAAGCCTTCTTACAGCCAATCAGCACGAGATCGCAAAGGTGGTCAGCTTTGAGCTGCCCATAACGTAACCGTACAGCCCAACTGAAGCTTGGTTGAACGTGGCGGGAAAGTGAGTGGTGTTGAAACTTCAACAGGTTTGCAACTGGTTTGTCGCTCGGTCCGGTTGGTCCTTACAACGGCTACTATCAGCTCCCAAGCCGCGCCTAACCAAAGCCTCCCTTTCAATTCAATCCGTTTCGGTCACTAAATTGCTGACATAGTTGGCGCTTCAGGTGGTGATCGGCATTGATTTTGACAGTGTTTAGTACAGTTCATGTCAACACATATTTGTATGTTCTTAGTTCTGCTAGGCTAAAGTGAGGTGCTCAGTATAGAGTACAACCCCATTTAGGGTTTCATACTTGTATCTCCCTGTTGCTAGTCATTCACATTCCTGCTGTAAGGAATTTTCCCAAATTCCTTATCGGGGTTGACTGCTTCGTGTACAGCCCGATTTTCGGACTTGGCACGTTCGGCCGATTTCAACGCTGCCGAGGCTCCTCGCGTCGCCTTCGGCTTTTCCCATCGCCAAACCTGCACCCAACCTCGCTCTCCCGAGGTTCCCTCCTAGCTAGGCCAACCCCTACATTAGTCTGTGCCTTCATTGTATTCTCAAATCAGTTAATCACAATCTCGTTATTCGTTTACCTGCGCACTCTCTTTTACAACTCATAACACCTGGTATCAGAGCTACTTTCCTAGTTCACCCCGCTTTTCCGAGGGTAGTTGTTGGAAATGGACACTGGAATGGCCCAAAGTGGTCTTCCCAAGGGCTACATGTATCGTCCTGGGAGGGTATGGGTGCGCTGACCCACCAACTAAACAAGCCCTTTTAGCCCAGTTGGTTAGCGAACTGGACATGGTGGAGGAGTGGGGTAGAGACCCGGGTTTAGTTCCTGCTGTCAGCAGATTTTCTGTGCCCTAGTGATGGGCCCTCCCAGTGAGGGGAGTGTTGGAAATGGACACTGGAATGGCCCAAAGTGGTCTTCTAAGGGCTACAAATGTCGTCCTGGGAGGGTATGGGTGCGCTGACCCACCAAGTAAACATGCCCTTTTAGCCAATTTGGTTAGCGAACTAGACAGTAGTTTGGTGGCACAGGGTGTGACTGGTTTAGTGACTACACGACGGTTGGCGGGAGAGATTGTTAATTCAATCCTGCCCGACTCCGATAGTTCGTGTTTTCACTTGCCTGAAGGCCACGGAGACCCGACTGCCCACCAGACATAGCGCTAGGCTCATGGATCAGGAGGCGGTTGACATGATGATGGCGCAAGTGGCGGAAATGCAGGAGAGCATGAAGTTGTTAATGGCGGAAGTGACAACACTGCGTGAAGAAAACGCCGAGCTGCGCCAGACGCGAGGTGAAGCGCGTCAGGTGTCGCCCGAGGACGAAGGCGAGGGCAACAGTCAAGCGATGAGCAATCCATTGGACGCGCTCACACGTGACTTCGAAGAGGAGGACCGGCAACGAGCGGCAGCAGCACCAGTTGCAGTAACGACGATCAAGATCAAGTCCGTCAACCCGCCCCCATTTAATCCTACGGACAAGACAGTTACAGTAAAGGGGTGGCTATTCGGGGTCGAGGTTTTCTTCACTGTAGCAGGAATTAATGACGACGCCACGCGTACTAATTACGCGGTTTTGCTACATGGCAGCAAGAATAGCATCAAAGTCAAGATCAAAGATAGCTACTCCCGCCCTAGACAGCTCCCCCCAGCGAGGGATCTCTGTGGCGTCAGGGAACTGGTGACGCCTAGCGTCCGTCAGGCGGCCGAAGCAGCGCTGGGTGGAGTGCAGACCCCCGCACTGCTCACCCGCACGGTCACCGGTACGGAGGGCGTAGGTGCACGGGCCAGCACCCCCACCCCGCTGACGCGCAGCGTACCACTCACGAAGCTGCTGGGGGGGAGAGGTCTCACGAGTGCGCTGCTGCTGCTGGCGCTGTCCACCACCGGGGCCACCTCTCTGCGTAGGGCTATGACCCGCTCCACTGCCGCCGCCGCCACCTCTGCCTCCTCCACCTCCTCCGCCTCCTCCGCTCCCACCACCACTGCCGCCTCCACCCCCGCCTCCACTGCTGCCACCGACGCCTCCACCCCTGCCACCACTCCCACCACCACCCCCACTCCCTCCACCGCCTCCCCCTCCACCTCCGTCGCCCCTGCCAGCTCCTCCAGCGCCCTTGCCCCCCTTGCCCTTGCCGGTGCGGCGTCTCCCACTAGGGGCAGACGCCGCTTCGACCGACTCGAAGCCAGCGAGGTCGGCCGCAGCAGTAGAGGCGACAGAGGGCAAGAGGGGGGAGGGGGAACACCCCTCAAAGACGGGGGTATGAGGGTCACCACGAGAGGCTCCTACAGCGACTATACTCTTCTCTGCTGCCAGGAGGCGCTCCTCGAGGAGGTCAACGGTGAGTGTGGTGGGGCAAACTGAGAGGAAGTGGTCCCTGACTAAGCGAAGGGAGTCAGGGAGCCGGGTGACTATGTAGTAGAGGGTGATGTACATGGGGGGGGGGGGGGGTTCTTGGCGCAGAACTCAGCAGGAACTGCAGCGCGGTAGCGAGTGTCACTAGTGCGAAGGTGCGTAATGAGGTCAGCGACTGTGGGAAAAGCGGCGAGGTTAGGGAACAGGTACGGCAGTATGAGGCTGCTAAGGGCAGTAGTGGCAGGGGAAGAGTAGCGTGCAACTACATCGTCGTACAAGGTCTTAGCACTCTTGTACTGACTAAAGTGCGCACGCTCAGCGGTCGGTAAGTGGCGACGCACAGCAAGACGGGCAGCAGCATCGCATGTGGCCCACTGTGAGCGAACAGTGCTGTCAGCATCAGCAGGCCGGGTAGGAGAGGCACCAGACGTGAGATCGAAGAGGGAGAGACTCTCTGCCCTATCGCACTGTAGGAAAAGTTGTAGGTGATCGACCCAGACCTCAAAGTCAACAGCCCGACCCTCAGCATCAAAGGTAAGGACACTAGGGGTAGCCATGATAGTAGCAGTCTAGCGGTGAGGGCAGCAGAGTAGGGGCAGCTCTGTGGCAAGGGTGCTGCTCGGGAATTCTCTCACCAGTCCGGGTGGGGAGGGCCGCAACTGTGGCTGCTGCGGCTCGGCGACGGCTCAGTGGCGGCTCGGCGGCTCGGCGGCGGCTTGGCGGCAGCTCGGCGGCGGCTCGGCGGCCCGGCGGCGGCTCGGCGGCGGCTCGGCTGCAGCGGCGGCTGTTCCGCGGCTCGGCGACTCGGCGTCTCGACGGCGGCTCGGCTGCTGAGCGGCTCGGCGGCGGCTTAGCGGCTCAGTGACGGCGGCGGCAGGGCCAGGGTAGGAGCGGTAGGGCGGTAACTGGGCCGCTGGAGGGCGGCGACGGGGCCGCGAATAGCGGCGACGCGGCCGCGAAGGGCGGCGACGTGGCCGTGAAGGGCTGCGGCTGGGCCGCGAAGGCGGCGACGGGGCCGCGAGAGGGCGGCGACGAGGCCGCGGTAGGGCGGTGACTGGGCCGCTATAGGGCGGCGACCGGGCCGCTGGAGGGCGGCGACGGGGCCGCTAGATGGCGACGACGGGGCCGCGAAGCGCGGCGACGCGGCCGCGAAGGGCGGCGGGTGGGCCGCGAAGGCGGCTACGGGGCCGCGAGAGGGCGGCCGGGCCGTAAGGGGCAGCGCCGAGGCCGCGTAGGGTGGGGCCGCTAGGGGCTGCTAAGGGCGGCGACGGGGCCGTGAGAGAGGCTGCTAAGGCCGGCGCGACGGGCCGCTAAGGGGAGGGCGGCCGACAGGGCGCGCCTCAGGCTCAGGGCAGAAAAAAAAAATTACTCGATTTTCAGTGGTGGGCCCTAGAAAAGTTCCCACTAGGGAACCTGCTCTTTACCATGTGAAGAAATGAGGAATGAAGGAACTAGGAGGAAGGTGGGTACAAGTATGAAAACCTAAAAGAGTTGTACCCCATATAGTCTACCCCACTACAGCCTAGATAGACTATAGCATATAAACTTGACATACCGAACCCACCAGCACGAGATCATCGAAGAACCTGGTTCAAAACCGACCTTCCGAGCACCATATTGACTCAACCCAACCGAGTTGGCCGACATGAGGAAACAGATCGAGTACCTTCTGGACAAAGGACTCATACGACCATCAACATCACCATACGGTGCACCAGTGCTTTTCACACCAAAACCTGACGGAAGCTTACGCATGTGCATCGACTACCGAGCCCTAAACAAGCAGACGATCAAGAACAAGTATCAGATTCCACGGATCGACGATCTACTTGACCAGCTTCGTGGAGCCACGGTATTCTCAAAACTCGATTTGAGATCGGGATATTGGCATATCCGGATGGCGGATAACTCCATCCATAAGACGGCGTGTTGGACACGATACGGATCCTACGAGTACCTTGTCATGCCGTTTGGACTCACCATCGCACCCGCTACATTCCAGGCCGAAATGATCCATATTCTCAGGTCTCTACTCGACGAATGCGTGGTGGTGTACCTGGACGACATCCTGATCTACTCGAGGGACATGAAGCAGCACATCGAACACCTACGACGTGTCTTCGAGATACTTCGACGGGAGAAGTTCTACGTCAAGCTATCCAAGAGCGAGTTTGCCTTGAAGAAAGTTCAGTTCCTTGGACACATGGTGAGCGCTCAAGGAGTCCATGTCGACCAAAAGAAGATCGAAGCCGTACGTACGTGGAAGACACCGGAGAACGTGAAGGAACTTCAACAATCCCTTGGCAGAGAAAAAGAAATTGTTGCAGTGGGACCATGACATCGCACTACGCAAAGGATCAACAAAGATATGGGTACCCAACTACCCGCCTCTTCGACAGTTGCTTCTCGAAGAATTCCATGACGTGCTCTACCCTGGACACTTCAGGAGTAACAAGACTCTTGCCGGGATTGCAAAAGTCTACTATTGGCCTCACATGGCGGACGACGTGCAGAAGTTCGTCACTTCGTGCGACACATGCCAGCGGATGAAGAGCAGTAAACAGAAGAAAGCATGACTTCTTCAGCCTCTACCCGTCCCGGAACAGCCTTGGCAAGTGGTCAGCTTGGATTTCATCACCGGTTTACCACCTACCAACGTGGGGCATGACGCCATCCTAGTCGTCATCGACAAATTCTCAAAGATGGGACACTTTATTCTGACACATACAACCGCACGCACGGAGGAAACGGCACAGCTATTCCTCAAACACATCATCTCACAGCACAGGATCCCAACAATCCTCTGTCAGAATATTATGCTCTAGCCTGTAGTGGGGTGCTCTATAGCGAGTACAACCCTTCTAGGGTTTGCTATTTGTATCCTCATTCTTGCTAGTGCAATCCTCTTCTTTCTTCTAAACTTTCACATGCTATCAGAGCAGGTCGATCCCCTTGGATCGATCCTGTGGGTGGGCTCACCACATCGTTGCTTCCGCTGCAACTGCTACTGCTACTCTCTGTGCCGCACGCCCCGTGGCGTGGGTGTGTGGGAGTCGACGGAGTGGTGCTAGGGGGTGGGGTGTGAGTAACCCTAGGGGTGCAGTAGGGGTGTGAGTGACCCTATGGGTGCAGTAGGGGTGTGTGAAATGGGGGTGGGATAGTTTGGGGAGGTTGAAGGGGGTGGCCGCCGAGAAGCCAGCAGCTCCAGTCGCCCGTGAGACCGTTGCGCCAGTCGCCCGTGAGCCCGTTGCGCCAGTCGCCCGTGAGCCCGTTGCTCCAGTCGCCCGTGAGTCCGTTGCTCGTTTGCCACTACTTTTAGCCGCGGAGCCAGTTACTCCAGTAGCCCGTGTGCCAGTTGCTCCAGTTGCCAGTGTGCCAGTTGCTCTAGTTGCCCGTGTGCTAGTTGCTCCAGTTGCGCCGTGTGCCAGCAGCTTCAGCTGCCGCCCACTACCTCCTCTCCTCTCATAGTCCCTCCTCCTCCACACTAGCCCTCTGCGATAGCCTCTAGCTTTGCTCATAATTGTGAACTTTAAACTATTGCTTCTTGAACTTGTGCTCAGAATGTGTGGTGACATTGTGATCCACCCTGAGCTTGTACTGCTTTGCTTGCTCTGCTGATTACACCCCACTTTGGCTATGGGGGTGTGTCAGAATATTATGCTCTAGCCTGTAGTGGGGTGCTCTATAGCGAGTACAACCCTTCTAGGGTTTGCTATTTGTATCCTCATTCTTGCTAGTGCAATCCTCTTCTTTCATTCTAAACTTTCACACCCTCATATCCGACAAGGACCCCAAGTTTACTAGCAAGTTCTGGAAAGAGCTCATGTCGCTCATGGGGACACGCCTAGCAATGTCATCTGCATATCATCCCTAGACTGATGGGCAGACAGAGCGCTTGAACCAAATTGTGGAACAACTCTTGCGCGCAGCGTGCAAGGACGACATTAACAAGTGGGACTTGCACTTGCCGGTGTTGGAGTTCGCCTACAATAATGCAAAGCATGCCGCAACAGGAGAGACCCCATTCTTCCTCTGTTACGGTCAAAATCCGCTAACTCCTCAACAGTCGACAGTACCTGCAATTGTCCAACCCGCGCACGACTTCGTTGCCACAATGCAGCAGCTTTGGGAACGGACACACAAGCGTCTACAAGACATACACTCTTCACAGAAACGCTTGGCCGATCGCCATCGACGTGATCATACCATTGCAGTTGGTGACCATGTGCTTCTCGACACATGCAACCTCAACCTCGGTCACCTTCCATCCAAGTTACGACCTCCCTTCTGCGGACCTTTCCTCGTAGAAGAGCAGGTCACTCCAGTCACATTCCGCTTGCGCCTACCAGCTACTTGGAAGATTCATAACGCCTTCCACGTGCAGCTTCTTAATCCCTGTCGAGATCCAAATAAGCTGTACACAGGATGCCAACCTCCGCCGCCGCCTCCAGTCCTCGTGAATGATGAACTTGAGTACGAGGTTGAATCTGTGCTTGCACATCGACGTCGTCAGCATGGCGCCCTGGAGTTTCTCATACGCTGGAAGGGCTATGATCCTTCTGAGGACAGTTGGGTCTCTAAAGAAGACATGAGAAACGCCCGACGTTCTCTCCGCGACTATCTTGTCAAGCAGGGTGTTACATCTACCATCCAGCTTTGAGGGGGGGAAGTGTGAGAGTATGCCGACGTTCCACATATTTCTCATTTCCATATTTTTACTCCATCTTATTCTCCTTATTTTCCTCTTTCATTTGCACTTTATTTCACCTCAATCGGACTACTATTCTATTTTCTAGAGCTTTCTGATTATTTCACTTATTTGGTATTTTCGGCACCGACATTTACATTATACGGCACCGACAGCATCGGCAGTGGTGTACAAGGCGTAATCTCGCCATAATCCGAAGTGCCAATGGGCTTGCGTGCTTATGCGCACTTGTGATTATCTATTCCAGAAGAGCGCGTTCCCGAAGGTTCGGATTATCTGTTGTTTCTATGTGTTTCCAAGTATAAATACGCCTTGTACTCACCTTTAGTGCAACATTCTTGAGTGGAAATTCGATCCTGTGACAAAGACCATGTATAGTTTGAGGCGGTGAGCGGTATGAAGGGGTGTAAAGGAGACCAAGGGCCAGGGGGCCACTCACAGGTGGAAATAGCTGTTGCAAAAGTGACGACAGCGGCGTCTGCTGCTGCTGCTGCTGCTACAGCAGCTCGTGATGCTCAACTCATGCGGCTACTGCTACTCCAACTCCAGCCTCTCCTTTGCCAACCTCTCCTTCTCACGCTCAAGCCGGCAAAGAGCCTGGTGACGCATCGGGTAACAGTGGGGAGGCGGAGTAGGCGCCTCAGTAGTAGTGCCCCCAGCTCCAGCACCCTCAGAATTAGCACCTCTAGTGCATGTACCTCCAGCACTAGCATCCCCAAAAGTAGTGCCTATACCCTCAGCTCCAGCATCCCTAGATGTAACACCACCAATGCGTAAAACCTTAGCTCCAGCACCCCCAAAACCAGCAACTCCAGTGCCAGCAACTCTAGCTCCAGCACCCCTAAAACTACCACCTACAGTGCCAGCAAACCCGGCTCCAACACCCTCAAAACCAAGACCTCCAGCGCACGTGCCTCCAGCACCGACAACCCCAGAGTCCACTATAACCTGTCGCAGTAGTGGTGACGGCTGTTGAGGTGACTGAGAGGACACCCAACATACCATCGACAGGAGAGGTGTGGCGTGAGACACACCTGACGGGGCAGGAACCGGTGGGGCGAGGGTGTACCGGAGGAGCTGGAGCAAGAGGAGTGGGAGTTAGAAAGAGGGGAGGGAGGGGAAACGAGAGACATCGGACGAAGAAGCGGACTAAGTAGAATGCAGACTTGTCAAATCGGACATCACGGGAGTCGAGGAACGGGCGGAGGGGCGGGTGGTAAAGGTCAAAGTCAGGGGCATCCACCAGGAAAGCAAGGAAGACACAGGGAAAGGTGAGAACCGAGAGCTTGTCCGCAAAGGTATTGCGGAAATACGCAAGGCAGCCCCAGACATAAAACTTTGACGCAACACCAGGGGACCTGGTCCAAAGACTGGCCGGTGAAGCCTCTGGCCGTGAGACATGAGGCCAAAGGTTCAACTGGTGGGCGGCGTCGCGAAGGGCCACAAAAAATGGGGCACACGAGCATGAATTATGGCCAATCTCCATGACCAAGCCAGCGCAACGCTCAGCAACCCCATTCTGTTGTAGGGACTCTGGAAGCGTTTAGGACTGAGTGATGCCCTGCTCGTTACAAAACCCGGCAAGTACGTTGGAGCAAAACTCGACCCCATGGTCGGAGTAGGGACTCAGGACCTGAATACCATGCGTGGCACTAGTGGCGTACAACCAACGGATCAGGGTTGAAGCCACGCGTGGTAATATCGCGCCATGTGTTCGACGTATGGCGGAACCGACACTCGAGCCATGAAAGATTTTGAATCATCGCGTGGATCTGACGGCTATAGGACGAGGTACTTGCTTCGTTGGAAGGATCGCACAGGCAAGGACGACACGTACGTTGCCGCTGACGCACTACAGGAACACCCGGTTCTACAGGCTTACTTGACTCGCCGGGGTGTTCCGGATATTCACCACCTTTCTTAAGGGGGTGGGTAGTGTAAGGAAATTTCTCTAATTCCTTATTGTGTCACACTGTACGCGTACAACTCCAACTTTCGCGTTGCTGATGACCTCGCCCTCCGAACCACCATCGCGTTGCCTTCAGGTTTCCCAACCCCGAACCTGCACCCGACCACTCGCGACCCCTCAACCGCAACCTAGCTAGCCTTTGCTATATTACGGTAGGCTTCATTTATTTGAATCATGTGCACTCTTTTTCATTACAAATCATAACATGCCATGTGGAACTCAGGCTTTAACAACAAATGTGTAACAATGCTCCCTCCACTCTGCCCCTCACCTACTTGTTGCCTCACCTCGCCGCCTCTGCTCAGCCTCCGAGGCATTGTTTTTATGGCTTATCTACTTCCAGGTAGATAAGGCCGTGTCGTCTCCCCTCGGCGTATTATCTAGTTCTGCTCTTGGTGTGCATCCTCTCCTCCTCGCCCTCTCGCCGTTTGCCTCCTCTCAGCATCCTCGCCGCGTCGCCTCCTCGTTTACTCCCTCGTCGCCTCCTCGCTGCCTCGCCGCCTCGCCTCCTCGTCGCGGCGCCTCCCCTCCGCCTCCACGCCACGTCGCCTCCTCTCCGCCTCCTAAACCCCAAAGTGACGGAATTTGGAAGGCGCGAGGGAGGATCCAGATTCCTAGGAAGAGCCCTGGCGAACAGGGCCTACATATTCCACGCCTCTGCTGCTTCTTCCCTTGCTGCCCGCCAACCAGAGTTTCCGATCGTCGGCGCGTATAGCCATGGATCTTCACGCGGGGATGAAGCGAAAATTATCGCAAATTAGCAAGGTCAAGCCGAAAGCAGACAACGGGCAGAGCGCGGAGCTGGCTAATAACGCGGACGACCCGAGCCGGAGGTTCTTTCACAGCGACGACTCGCCGCGCGAAGCTGCTGGCGGAAGGCCTGCCGCAGGCTCCGCGGTCGTCCTGAAATCCGCGCTGAAAGGCGGAAAAGGGGGCGAGAAAGGGGGAAAGGAAGCTGCGGGGAAGGGTAAGGGGAAGGCGGTAGGTTTTGCGGACGCGGATGAGGGGGAGGAGGGCGGAGAGGCGGAGCTGAGAACGGGCGGAAGAGAGGTGCGCCTGCCAACTGTTGCGGAGGGCGCTGGCTCAGATTCCGCGGAACCAGGTGGGGGAGCAGAAGGGGAGGAGCATGGGGGAGGCGGAGAGGGCGCGGGCGGTGGAGGAGGTGCGGGGGAGCAAGCGGGAGGTGGGGCGGGTGGGGAAGCGGGTGGGGGGATGGGGCGGGAGGAGGAGGAGGAGGAGCAGGTGGGACTAGACTTGGACTTGACACGAGTGCCGGCCATGAGCCCTGCTGCCATGCAGTGAGTCCATTCTTGACACGAGTGCCGGCCATGAGCCCTGCTGCCATGCAGTGAGTCCATTCTTGACACGAGTGCCGGCCATGAGCCCTGCTGCCATGCAGTGAGTCCATTCTTGACACGAGTGCCGGCCATGAGCCCTGCTGCCATGCAGTGAGTCCATTCTTGACACGAGTGCCGGCCATGAGCCCTGCTGCCATGCAGTGAGTCCATTCTTGACACGAGTGCCGGCCATGAGCCCTGCTGCCATGCAGTGAGTCCATTCTTGACACGAGTGCCGGCCATGAGCCCTGCTGCCATGCAGTGAGTCCATTCTTGACACGAGTGCCGGCCATGAGCCCTGCTGCCATGCAGTGAGTCCATTCTTGACACGAGTGCCGGCCATGAGCCCTGCTGCCATGCAGTGAGTCCATTCTTGACACGAGTGCCGGCCATGAGCCCTGCTGCCATGCAGTGAGTCCATTCTTGACACGAGTGCCGGCCATGAGCCCTGCTGCCATGCAGTGAGTCCATTCTTGACACGAGTGCCGGCCATGAGCCCTGCTGCCATGCAGTGAGTCCATTCTTGACACGAGTGCCGGCCATGAGCCCTGCTGCCATGCAGTGAGTCCATTCTTGACACGAGTGCCGGCCATGAGCCCTGCTGCCATGCAGTGAGTCCATTCTTGACACGAGTGCCGGCCATGAGCCCTGCTGCCATGCAGTGAGTCCATTCTTGACACGAGTGCCGGCCATGAGCCCTGCTGCCATGCAGTGAGTCCATTCTTGACACGAGTGCCGGCCATGAGCCCTGCTGCCATGCAGTGAGTCCATTCTTGACACGAGTGCCGGCCATGAGCCCTGCTGCCATGCAGTGAGTCCATTCTTGACACGAGTGCCGGCCATGAGCCCTGCTGCCATGCAGTGAGTCCATTCTTGACACGAGTGCCGGCCATGAGCCCTGCTGCCATGCAGTGAGTCCATTCTTGACACGAGTGCCGGCCATGAGCCCTGCTGCCATGCAGTGAGTCCATTCTTGACACGAGTGCCGGCCATGAGCCCTGCTGCCATGCAGTGAGTCCATTCTTGACACGAGTGCCGGCCATGAGCCCTGCTGCCATGCAGTGAGTCCATTCTTGACACGAGTGCCGGCCATGAGCCCTGCTGCCATGCAGTGAGTCCATTCTTGACACGAGTGCCGGCCATGAGCCCTGCTGCCATGCAGTGAGTCCATTCTTGACACGAGTGCCGGCCATGAGCCCTGCTGCCATGCAGTGAGTCCATTCTTGACACGAGTGCCGGCCATGAGCCCTGCTGCCATGCAGTGAGTCCATTCTTGACACGAGTGCCGGCCATGAGCCCTGCTGCCATGCAGTGAGTCCATTCTTGACACGAGTGCCGGCCATGAGCCCTGCTGCCATGCAGTGAGTCCATTCTTGACACGAGTGCCGGCCATGAGCCCTGCTGCCATGCAGTGAGTCCATTCTTGAGACGCGTCCACACAAGTGACGCCGTGTGTGAGCCTCACTGCCATTCAGTGAGTCGTATTGTAACACGTCTCAAAGAACATGCCAACCGGCTATGAGCCCAGCTGCCACGCATGCAGTGAGTGGTGCGATGCAGTGAGCGCTTGCGTGCTCAACTAGACCTGATACGCTCCACTCCAGCCGTCCCCTCCCCACTCCTACTCCTCATGCCCTCTTCAGGGGGCTGCTGCCTCCCTTCTCTTCACACCAAGAGAGACTTTGCAGGCTGGTGTGTGAACAGTGCATGACAGCATTCATGATATTCTTTCCACCCCCACTCCACCCGTCCCCACGCCACACATACCGTCCATGTCCGTGGCAGGGAGCTGCTGGATCGCTTCACACCCGAGCAGATGAACCGCTACGAGGCATATCGACGGTCAGGGTTCAAGCAGGCCAGTATGCGACGGGTATGGCTCAGCGTCTTTCCTCCTCCTTGTGCTAGCGTTCCCTTCCACGCCGCTTTGGTCCTTCTTTTGTATCTTCTCTTTATTCACTCACGTTACCGCCTGCTGAGCTGTTCCCTGTGCCCCTTGGCTTGTTATGCCCTTAGCTCTCCTGGTTGCGTCCTACCTAGTCCCTCAAGGTACACCTGTCTTCAAGGTTTAACACTCTCAGTTCCTTGCTTTTCCCATGATTTCCGATCCTGTGCGTTTGACCGCGTGCCCTGCCACACACCCTCTTGACACTTTCAGATAATTCACCTTCTCCCTACCCACCCCACCCCACCTCACTCCATCGCACCTCACTTTACCGAACTCCACCGCATTGCACCGCGTGTGCAGCTGGTGCACGGGGTGGCGGGAGCCACAGTGAGTCCGCAGCTGGGCATCGTGATGTCGGGCGTGGCGAAGCTCATGGTGGGCGAGCTCGTCGAGACGGGTGAGCTCGTCGAGACGGGTGAGCCGAAGGTGGCAGGGTGGTGGAGGGTGGTGGGAGGGCGAAAGGGGTGTTGCAAGCTTGGTAAGCGAGCTCGTGGCCGGGTGAGGTGAGGTGGCGCGGTGGTGGGAGGTCAACAGGCGTTGTTGGTGGAAAGAGGTGGAGTGAGGGAAGTGTGTATGTGAGTTTGTGTGTGCGAGGGAAAGTGCGTGCAGCGCTGGGAAGCGAGACACACATGTGGGTGGGGAGCGAGACACACACACATGTGGGTGGGGAGTGCATTGGGCATACATGTGGGTGGGGAGTGCATTGGGCATACATGTGGGTGGGGAGTGCATTGGGCATACATGTGGGTGGGGAGTGCATTGGGCATACATGTGGGTGGGGAGTGCATAGGGCATGGGGGGGAAGGCGGCACTAGCAATGCTGCTGGTGGGGGGTGGGAGGATGGGGATGGGGAGGCTGGTGGAGAGTAGTGGGGGCATGGAAGAGGTCAGTGAAACAGGGGCAGGGGGGAGTTGATTTGTGAGCAGCTTGGAGTTCTGCTGTGTCTCTTTTCCCTTACCCGCCCATCCTCCCCTTCCCTTTCCATACAAACCCATCATCTCATCCCCATTCACTGCTCTCATCTTTCTCCATCCATCATCCCTCCACCTGCCTACCCTCCATTTCAACAGCCCGCCTCGTGATGGGTGAGAGGGCCGATGAGGGGCCGATCAGGCCCACGCACATCCGCGAGGCGTATCGACGGCTCAAGATGGAGAAGAGGGTGCCTGTTCGATCTCGACCACCGCTTTTCCGGTGACGCCATATTCCGGCAGCAGATAGGGGCTTTCAGCAGCGTGCGTTGCTGCAGTGGGCACAATGCAATACGGTACAAGCACGGGGGAGATGGAGCCTGGAACAGTGTGGTGTGGTGTACAGTTGTGAGCGCGGAACCAAGGTTGTACGATTCTGCCTCTTGACAGTGCAACGGCATACGTGTACCACTGCTGCTGCAGGGGCTGCAGGGGCTGCAGGCTGCAGGAACCTTCACCTTGAGCAAGGCTCCAGCTACCATGTATCGCATGTTCCCTGGGGTGGTAATGGCGCCACTGATCTCAGCAATGGAAATACACTCTGCTAGACTGCTATGTGAGAGATGTGAACAAGTTGTTGGAGAATCAGATCTGGGAACGCACAAGCTCAGAGTGCTCAGACAACATTAAAAACAGCTCTTTGAAAAGCCTCTTGATTAATAAATCATAAGTACGGTAGTTTTTCTCAACCACCAGATGCCTTGCTTTTGAGACCTCAGATCAGCCGCAGGGCTCACACACAACCGCCGGGACTGCCCGTCGTGGCTGTTCTGTCTCAACTCGACTCGACTCGACGCTAACAAAAGCGCTTCCCAACCAACTGTCTCAAAGCAAGCGGCAGGGCTCACTCATGCCTGCCCGGGCTCCCTGTGCCTCGCTGCTTTGCCTCTGGCAGGAATGCTTTCAAACCCACGGTCGGCCTTTTTCGAGGGGCCCACCCCACCCCAGAATGAGGCGCAGGGCTCACGCGCGCTGAGGCTTCCGGTGCCGGGCAGCCTTGCCTCCCACAGGCGTGCTCTCGAACCGACTGCTGCTCTCCCCCTCCCCTCGCCTCTGCTGCTGTATGCCCTGAGATGCACCCTGCCCTTTGCTGCTGCTGCTGTGGCCGTTGAGTTGGGTTGGAGGATGGGGAAGTGGGTGAGCGGGTGATGGAGTGGTGGTGGACGGCTTGGGTGATGGGAGGGTGGCAGGAGCGAGTGGGATGCACCTGGAGTGCGGGAGGGAAGAGTGAGAAGAGGGATGAGAGATGAGGGATGGGAGAGAGGAGGGATGAGTGAGGGGAGTGAGTTAGGAAGATGAGTGAATGGGGGCATAGATGATGTGTAATGAGTGAAAGGGGGCATAGATGAGGTGGAATGAGTGAGGCAGGATGAGACGTATGGCGGAGAGGTATGAGGGAGTGGAGAAAAAGGTGGGGAGCGGAAAGAGGAGGGGAATATGTGAGCAAGCACCAGGTGGTAAGCAAGTGGTCAGCACGACGATGTTGCAACATGACATGTGGACATGTGGGGAGGTCCCTCGTGAGGTACGTGCATGCAGCTGTGTGGGTGGCAAACCAAGTGAGGGGAATTCGCCAATAGGGGGTCAGAAAGGAGAGGACAGGGAGAAGAGAGGGCAGGCGAAAAAAGGGGGAGGACTGACAGCAGGGAGTGGAAGAGGGTGGAGAGCGGTGCAGTGGGGTCCCAAGGCGAGCCTGAAATGACCTCCCATGCGCTGTGGGCCATCTGGAGAGGGGAGGAGGGACGCCGAGGAAGAGGAGGGGAAGAAAGATAGTGGAGGGAGAAGGTTGAAAAAAATACATGAGCCTTCAAAAACTTGGGGTAGTGGTGAAGCTTGCGCTACCATGACCACACCATGTAGGGTGTTTGGCCCGCAGACTTTGCTAGTGTGAGTGGAAGTGGAAGGTAACGTAGACGAATCTGGGTTCCCTCTTATAACTCCTGGATCCGTTCACTCGTCTTCCTCATTTTACAATGTGCCTTTCCTCTCATTTTTTCTCGTCAGCGTTCCTCTCTCTCAAGCACAATTTTCCACTTAATAGAAAAAAACAGACAGGGAACAAACGGGGAACAAATGAGGTTGGGGGATCGGAGGATGAGCAGAGGGGAGTGGACTGAAGCGGGGAGAAGGGCACGATAGCAGCACCGTAGCACCGCAAGAGGCGACGAGCACACAGCAAAGCGAAAAAAATGACGATGGAATGTCATGACAAGAGAGAAAATAGTGTCCGCGCAGGCAACGAGCACACAGCAAAGGGAAAAAAGTGACGATGGCATGTCATGACAAGAGAGAAAAGAACCGGGCAGGCAACGAGCGTACGAGGAGGGAGGCGATGGCAGCAAAGGCAGCCTGGGAGGTGCAGCAGGCAGCCCAGTGGACGGCTAGAGTGTAGCCCACTGCCATTATGCATGCCGAGCGGGAGAGCCTGTGAGGGGGGAGGAGTGGGAGGAGATGGGGGGGATACGAGGTGATTTAGAGGTGCCTCAACACTTGTCTCATCTCATGGCAGCAGGCACCCCACTGCACCGCCACCGTGCAGCCCAGTGCACGGCCACCGTGCAGCCCAGTGCACGGCCACCGTGCAGCCCAGTGCACGGCCACCGTGCAGCCCAGTGCACGGCCACCGTGCAGCCCAGTGCACGGCCACCGTGCAGCCCAGTGCACGGCCACCGTGCAGCCCAGTGCACGGCCACCGTGCAGCCCAGTGCACGGCCACCGTGCAGCCCAGTGCACGGCCACCGTGCAGCCCAGTGCACGGCCACCGTGCAGCCCAGTGCACGGCCACCGTGCAGCCCAGTGCACGGCCACCGTGCAGCCCAGTGCACGGCCACGGTGCACTGGGCTGCACGGTGGCTGCACAGTAGTAGCGCATGGCTGCAGCCAGTGGGCAGTAGTAGCGCATGGCTGCAGCCAGTGGGCAGTAGTAGCGCATGGCTGCAGCCAGTGGGCAGTAGTAGCGCATGGCTGCAGCCAGTGGGCAGTAGTAGCGCATGGCTGCAGCCAGTGGGCAGTAGTAGCGCATGGCTGCAGCCAGTGGGCAGTAGTAGCGCATGGCTGCAGCCAGTGGGCAGTAGTAGCGCATGGCTGCAGCCAGTGGGCAGTAGTAGCGCATGGCTGCAGCCAGTGGGCAGTAGTAGCGCATGGCTGCAGCCAGTGGGCAGTAGTAGCGCATGGCTGCAGCCAGTGGGCAGTAGTAGCGCATGGCTGCAGCCAGTGGGCAGTAGTAGCGCATGGCTGCAGCCAGTGGGCAGTAGTAGCGCATGGCTGCAGCCAGTGGGCAGTAGTAGCGCATGGCTGCAGCCAGTGGGCAGTAGTAGCGCATGGCTGCAGCCAGTGGGCAGTAGTAGCGCATGGCTGCAGCCAGTGGGCAGTAGTAGCGCATGGCTGCAGCCAGTGGGCAGTAGTAGCGCATGGCTGCAGCCAGTGGGGAGTAGTAGCGCATGGCTGCAGCCAGTGGGCAGTAGTAGCGCATGGCTGCAGCCAGTGGGCAGTAGTAGCGCATGGCTGCAGCCAGTGGGCAGTAGTAGCGCATGGCTGCAGCCAGTGGGCAGTAGTAGCGCATGGCTGCAGCCAGTGGGCAGTAGTAGCGCATGGCTGCAGCCAGTGGGCAGTAGTAGCGCATGGCTGCAGCCAGTGGGCAGTAGTAGCGCATGGCTGCAGACAGCATGAGGCGTGGCAGGCATGCAGGCACAGCGCGGATCTATGTCTACAAGCTTGTATCGAGAATTCTAAAAGAAACTAGAGTCATGCACGAGCGATCAACTACCTTGTTCAAGGCTTGGTTGCAGAGACACACCAGGAAGGGTAGAGCAGCTCAGAGCGCGAGGGAGGTGATGCAGTGAGGAGGGCGAGAACGAGGTCCAAGATGAGGCGGCCCCCACAGCCTGGCGATGGGGGAGAGTGGCGTGGGGAGAGGGCGAGGGGAGAGGGCGAGGGGAAGGGAGGGATGCACACACGAGCCACAGCACACACGAGCCACAGCACACACGAGCCACAGCACACACGAGCCACAGCACACACGAGCCACAGCACACACGAGCCACAGCACAGCGTGACGCAAGGCGAGAGCGTGATGAGGTGAGGAGGGGAGTGAGGAGGGCGAGAAGGAGGTTTAGAACGAGGCGACCCCCACAGCCTGGTCATGGAGGAGGGTGGCGCGGGGAGGGAAACACAAAAAGGGAGGGTGGAGGGGAGCACAAAGAGTGATGGTGGTTTGGGGAAGGAAACACAAGGGTACAGGTGGGGGGGGGGAGGGTGCTGTACCTGCGAGAGTACCAATGAAGACTGGAGCAACCAGTGCATGCTTCCCAAACAGCCCAACTGCCCTGTCAATCTGCACCCCCGGGCAAGAGCGACGAGAGAGAGTGGAGGGGTTGAGTCACAGGTGAGATGGGGGAGGGGAGAAGGGGAGGGAGACTGAAGAGGGAGCACATGGCAGGTGGCAGCAGCACATGGCAGGTGGCAGCAGCACATGGCAGGTGGCAGCAGCACATGGCAGGTGGCAGCAGCACATGGCAGGTGGCAGCAGCACATTGCAGGTGGCAGCAGCACATGGCAGGTAGCAGCAGCACATGGCAGGTGGCAGCAGCACATGGCAGGTGGCAGCAGCACATGGCAGGTGGCAGCAGCACATGGCAGGTGGCAGCAGCACATGGCAGGTGGCAGCAGCACATGGCAGGTGGCAGCAGCACATGGCAGGTGGCAGCAGCACATGGCAGGTGGCAGCAGCACATTGCAGGTGGCAGCAGCACATGGCAGGTAGCAGCAGCACATGGCAGGTGGCAGCAGCACATGGCAGGTGGCAGCAGCACATGGCAGGTGGCAGCAGCACATGGCAGGTGGCAGCAGCACATGGCAGGTAGCAGCAGCACATGGCAGGTGGCAGCAGCACATGGCAGGTGGCAGCAGCACATGGCAGGTGGCAGCAGCACATGGCAGGTGGCAGCAGCACATGGCAGCACATGGGAGGGGGCAGCAGCACATGGCAGGTGGCAGCAGCACATGGCAGGTGGCAGCAGCACATGGCAGGTAGCAGCAGCACATGGCAGGTGGCAGCAGCACATGGCAGGTGGCAGCAGCACATGGCAGGTGGCAGCAGCACATGGCAGGTGGCAGCACCACATGGCAGGTGGCAGCAGCACATGGCAGGTGGCAGCAGCACATGGCAGGTGGCAGCAGCACATGGCAGGTGGCAGCAGCACATTGCAGGTGGCAGCAGCACATGGCAGGTAGCAGCAGCACATGGCAGGTGGCAGCAGCACATGGCAGGTGGCAGCAGCACATGGCAGGTGGCAGCAGCACATGGCAGGTGGCAGCAGCACATGGCAGGTAGCAACAGCACATGGCAGGTGGCAGCAGCACATGGCAGGTGGCAGCAGCACATGGCAGGTGGCAGCAGCACATGGCAGGTGGCAGCAGCACATGGCAGGTGGCAGCAGCACATGGCAGGTGGCAGCAGCACATGGCAGGTGGCAGCAGCACATGGCAGGTGGCAGCAGCACATGGCAGCACATGGGAGGGGGCAGCAGCACATGGGAGGGGGCAGCAGCACATGGCAGGTGGCAGCAGCACATGGCAGGTGGCAGCAGCACATGGCAGGTGGCAGCAGCACATGGCAGCACATGGGAGGGGGCAGCAGCACATGGGAGGGGGCAGCAGCACATGGCAGGTGGCAGCAGCACATGGCAGGTGGCAGCAGCACATGGCAGGTGGCAGCAGCACATGGCAGGTGGCAGCAGCACATGGCAGGTGGCAGCAGCACATGGCAGCACATGGCAGGTGGCAGCAGCACATGGCAGGTGGCAGCAGCACATGGCAGGTGGCAGCAGCACATGGCAGGTGGCAGCAGCACATGGCAGGTGGCAGCAGCACATGGCAGGTGGCAGCAGCACATGGCAGGTGGCAGCAGCACATGGCAGGTGGCAGCAGCACATGGCAGGTGGCAGCAGCACATGGCAGGTGGCAGCAGCACATGGCAGGTGGCAGCAGCACATGGCAGGTGGCAGCAGCACATGGCAGGTGGCAGCAGCACATGGCAGGTGGCAGCAGCACATGGCAGGTGGCAGCAGCACATGGCAGGTGGCAGCAGCACATGGCAGGTGGCAGCAGCACATGGCAGGTGGCAGCAGCACATGGCAGGTGGCAGCAGCACATGGCAGGTGGCAGCAGTGGGATTACTCTGGAAATGACGACGCCTGTGCGCGCTATGCTTGCTGTCACCCGCGCTACCAGCTGCAGGCAGGTGGGGAGAACGCATGTGGGGGAGAAGGCGGGATGGGAGAAGGCAGACGGGGAGAAAGCAGACGGGGAGAAAGCAGACGGGGTGAAAGCAGACGGGGTGAAAGCAGACGGGGTGAAAGCAGACGGGGTGAAAGCACGAGGCATGAGAGCATGAGGCATGAGAGCACGAGGCATGAGAGCATGAGGCATGAGAGCACGAGGCATGAGAGCACGAGGCATGAGAGCACGAGGCATGAGAGCACGAGGCATGAGAGCACGAGGCATGAGAGCATGAGGCATGAGAGCACGAGGCATGAGAGCACGAGGCATGAGAGCACGAGGCATGAGAGCATGAGGCATGAGAGCACGAGGCATGAGAGCACGAGGCATGAGAGCACGAGGCATGAAAGCACGAGGCGAATGCTTAGGGAGAATAGGGGAGGGCACGCAAAGAATAGTGGTGTCAACACAGGCATGTTTTGCTCTCGAGAAGCCAACAGCAACACATGCCTGTGTTCCCATACTGCAGTCTGTGAGTGAGAAATGTCAGAGACCTGAAGGGGAGTGGAAGTAAGGTGAGTAATTGATTGAAGGTGTGAAGTGGCGGAGGCAAGCAGGTGATGGCGGAGGCAAGCAGGTGATGGCGGATGCAAGCAGGTGATGGCGGATGCACATGCGACAGCAGTCGTGCCATGCATGCATGAGCAAAGCAGGTCAACACTCATGTACCTTGACAGGCGTGAGGGCGTACAGGCGACTCCCCACGTCGTATGGGGAATATGTGATGACCCACCTGCACGCAGGGGTTGAAGAGGAGTTGAATGCGATACGGTGGGGTGACAGTGCGTGTCAAGGATGAGGGGAGAGAGTGTGCGTGGCATGGACTGGTGGAGTGTGCGTGGCATGAATGACGTGAGGACGAATGACAAGTCCCATGTCTCCAGGGAACATCCGGAGCCTGGCAGCAACTGCAACGAGCGTTGCAGCAGCGAAGGAAGCAGCGTAGCAGCAGAGGAAGAGGAAGAGAGAAGAAAAATAAGCGTACCAGCAGAGGGCGAAGAGCAGGAGGACGGAATCGTTGCGGAGCCACACAAAGTGATCCTGCGGTGTGGTGGAGCGGAGAGGAGTGGAGAGGTTTGGGAAAGAGTGGTGGACCATGGAAAGGTGCGGAGTGGAGATGGTGCAAGAAGACGGGTGTTACAACTGAAACTGCTTACCTTAGCATCTACAGCTTATTGAACAAGAACGAGCCCCCCCACGCAACTGATGCGAGCAATTACAACATCAATAACCCTCAGCAAGCACATATACTACGGCGCACATGCAGAGTGAGGCACGCACATGCAGAGTGAGGCACGCACATGCAGAGTGAGGCACGCACATGCAGAGTGAGGCACGCACATGCAGGAGGAGGGAGGTGAGCGTTCCTCCGCCATATCCGGTGAAGAACGCCGCCCAGAAGCACAGCAGCCAATGGCGTCGCAGCAGGGGGATCCGCACAGCTGCTGACGTGGCAAGCGCGTGGCCAATTATGATAAAATCAAAGGGGATACTCTGAAAGGCCAATCCGGCGTCGTGCAGCTGCTGATGCGTCCTCTCGGCGAGGGTCACAGCCGCCGTGAAATACGGCGAGTCGGAGAGAGGAAGGAGGGGATTGAGGAGGGAATGACGGAGGGAAACGGCGAGGTCCGTTGGGAGGACGGCGGAGAGCGAGGGACGAATGACGGCATCGAGCAGCCACGAGGAGCTGGCGGGTGCCATCGTGATGAGGAGCGTTAGGTCACGCTGTCATAAATAACGTCACAGGTGCTGATGAAATCGGCTGACTTGGTAGTATGTAGGTAGCAAAAAGTAGTTTAACTACGACTTAACCGCGCTTCCTCACGTGGTCACGCATAATAATTATTCGTAAGCCTAGAAAGTATCACCTAGTAAATAGGAAAGATAGTCTTACTGGAATGGTCACAAAAATGGCGCTGCGGATAGTATGATCATAAGAATGGTCGACCTGAGGACGCGTTCACGGGGTCCCGTTTAGTCTGGTTCGCAATGGCGCTCATGAACTTTTTGCTCCTATAAAATCAGAGAATCCAATCCGATCCAATTGTCCTGCCTGAACGGTCTTCTTGTGAAGTCATCCCCCGTCCGACCTTGCACCGCGTGGGGAACGACATTTTTCGCTAACCTTGGAAAGAGACGAACAAAGGGATAAATTTGGAAATCGCATGTCGCAGCGGGTTACCTCTTCGAGTTGTTCCAATCCCGTTTCTGCGAATGGTACCTCAACAGCAAACTTCCTGTCAGAACTGTAGAGTGACAGATCATTGACACAATCAAAGCAATGACCATTCGCTGCTAGTTTTTTCCACCCACCACCATCACGCATTCCTAGATTTTAGGAGGCTGTCGCCGTATTTGCCATGGCGACGTACTTCTTCGTACAGCTATGGCACGCCACCATCCTCCCGCTCCTCTCATCCTTCCTCCCCTTGGACCTTCTCCTCCCCGGCAAGTCCCTCCTTCCGCCGCTCCTGCACTCCGCAATGCCGCTGCTCGCGCGCGCGCACCAGCAGCTGCACGAAATCGGGGAAGCGTATAGCGCGGTGCCGTACGATCTGATCGTGGCGGGGAAGGCCCTCGCCACGTCGGCGATCGTGAGGGGGGTTCCGGCGGTGCGACGCCATTGGCTGCTGAGCTTCTGGGCGTCGTTCCTATTGGCTTACGGCGACTACTCCCTGCCCTCGCTCGTCTTGCAGGTGCCTTATCCTTCTGCTGCTCGTCTGTCTGCGTGCTTGCATTGTTGGATTTGTTACAATATGTCGTTAGAAAATCGTTATACGACCTCATTACAGGAGCACTTTGTAGTATCCCACTTCAATTCAACTCTTAATACGGGTCACCATTCGTAACGGGTCTCGCTTTAGCGGTACAATTGAGAACCCCAACCAGGAATCGCGTGATGTGTGCTGCTGTCGGGGGAGTCTGGATCTGAATGGCTGCTCTGATGTTGAATGAGAGTGTCTCTGCTCGCGTTCTGTGAGGTCCACCCGCTGTTGCATGGGTGCGAGAGCATGGGAGCATGGACTTACGCGCATTCCACATGACTTGTCTGGATACCCTACCAGCAGTAAACTGTTGTGCCTATATGCTTCCTCTACACACCTTCCAACAACACAAACCCAGAACCTTCTTCCCCATTCCTCCCCTTTTCTCCCTCCTTCCTCTCCTCTTTCTCTCCCTTTCCCCCCCATTCTCCCCCCTTTCTCCCCACCTCTCCTTAACCCCCTCCTGCTGGCGATTCCCCACAAGCACAGAGCGACGTCGTGTGGCTGAAAAAGGAAATCATTCTGATCACATTCGCTGTCTGCTGGTAACCACGTTGTTTCGTGTGCCCAGCCAGGGACAGGTCCACGAAATATATGTCTGTTCACAACATGCTACAGTGCTGGTGCTTGGTTGTTGACAGTAACCTGTACACGCCATGTGCTGGTACCGGCAGAAACCCGTAGTATTCTAGAATCGTTTTGTAACCATGGTCAGCTGAACACCATGTTGTGGTAACCAGTTGGGTATGACGTGTTGAGAGGTGGTGCCATTGAGCATGCTCTGTCTGGTCTCCCCTTTGTCTCTCCTGTCCAGTGCCTAGAGAGGTGCACCCATTGCATGCTCCTTCACTCCATTGCTCTCTAGTCTCGTTTCCTCCGCAACACTCACACGCCATGCTCCGCCACACATCCAACAGTCAGGCCACGCAACCCATGTTCTGAGTGCGTGTGTGTGTGTGTGTGTGTGTGTGTGTGTGTGTGTGTGTGTGTGTGTGTGTGTGGGTGCGTGCGTGCGTGCGTGCGTGCGTGTGTGGGGAGCAGGTGGTTGATCAGCTACTGTCCGCGTGACATGGGCTACAAGGCGTTCAAGCTCAAGCCCATCAAGGTGACAGGGCAGGCAGCTTGAGTCTTGAAGCATGTGGCTACGCCATGCACCTCCTTGGGTTGTTGGTCATGCATTCCAGGAATTTTTGTGTGAAGGGTGCAACATTCATGGTGGGTGCAACATGCATGGCGGGCGCAAGATGCATGGCGGGTGCAAGATGCATGGCGGGCGCAAGATGCATGGCGGGAACAAGATGCATGGCGGGTGCAAGATGCATGGCGGGTACAAGATGCATGGCGGGTGCAAGATGCATGGCGGGTGCAAGATGCATGGCGGGTGCAACATGTATGGCGGGTGCAAGATGCATGGCGGGTGCGAGATGCATGGCGGGCGCAAGATGCATGGCGGGCGCAAGATGCATGGCGGGTGCAAGATGCATGGCGGGCGCAAGATGCATGGCGGGTGCAACATGTATGGCGGGTGCAAGATGCATGGCGGGTGCGAGATGCATGGCGGGTGCGAGATGCATGGCGGGCGCAAGATGCATGGCGGGCGCAAGATGCATGGCGGGTGCAAGATGCATGGCGGGCGCAAGATGCATGGCGGGCGCAAGATGCATGGCGGGCGCAAGATGCATGGCGGGCGCAAGATGCATGGCGGGCGCAAGATGCATGGCGGGCGCAAGATGCATGGCGGGCGCAAGATGATGGCGGGCGCAAGATGCATGGCGGGCGCGAGATGCATGGCGGGCGCGAGATGCATGGCGGGCGCCAGATGCATGGCGGGCGCAAGATGCATGGCGGGCGCAAGATGCATGGCGGGCGCAAGATGCATGGCGGGCGCAAGATGCATGGCGAGCACAAGATGCATGGCGGGTGCGAGATGCATGGCGGGTGCGAGATGCATGGCGGGCGCAAGATGCATGGTGGGCGCAAGATGCATGGCGGGCGCAAGATGCATGGCGGGCGCGAGATGCATGGCGGGTGCGAGATGCATGGCGGGTGCGAGATGCATGGCGGGTGCGAGATGCATGGCGAGCGCAAGATGCATGGCGGGCGCAAGATGCATGGCGGGCGCAAGATGCATGGCGGGCGCAAGATGCATGGCGGGTGCAAGATGCATGGCGGGCGCAAGATGCATGGCGGGCACAAGATGCATGGCGGGTGCGAGATGCATGGCGGGCGCGAGATGCATGGCGGGCGCAAGATGCATGGCGGGCGCAAGATGCATGGCGGGCGCAAGATGCATGGCGGGCGCGAGATGCATGGCGGGCGCGAGATGCATGGCGGGCGCAAGATGTATGGCGGGCGCAAGATGCATGGCGGGTGACAGATGCATGGCGGGCGCAAGATGCATGGCGGGCGCAAGATGCATGGCGGGCACAAGATGCATGGCGAGCGCAAGATGCATGGCGGGCGCAAGATGCATGGCGGGCGCAAGATGCATGGCGGGTGCAAGATGCATGGCGGGTGCGAGATGCATGGCGGGGGCGAGATGCATGGCGGGTGCGAGATGCATGGCGGGCGCAAGATGCATGGCGGGCGCAAGATGCATGGCGGGTGCAAGATGCATGGCGGGCGCAAGATGCATGGCGGGCGCAAGATGCATGGCGGGCGCAAGATGCATGGCGGGCGCAAGATGCATGGCGGGCGCAAGATGCATGGCGGGCGCAAGATGCATGGCGGGTGCAAGATGCATGGCGGGCGCAAGATGCATGGCGGGCGCGAGATGCATGGCGGGCGCAAGTTGCATGGCGGGCGCAAGATGCATGGCGGGTGCAAGAAGCATGGCGAGCGCAAGATGCATGGCGGGCGCAAGATGCATGGCGGGCGCAAGATGCATGGCGGGTGCAAGATGCATGGCGGGTGCAAGATGCATGGCGGGTGCAAGATGCATGGCGGGCGCGAGATGCATGGCGGGTGCGAGATGCATGGCGGGCGCAAGATGCATGGCGGGCGCAAGATGCATGGCGGGCGCAAGATGCATGGCGGGTGCAAGATGCATGGCGGGTGCAAGATGCATGGCGGGTGCAAGATGCATGGCGGGTGCGAGATGCATGGCGGGCGCGAGATGCATGGCGGGCGCGAGATGCATGGCGGGCGCGAGATGCATGGCGGGCGCAAGATGCATGGCGGGCGCGAGATGCATGGCGGGTGCAAGATGCATGGCGGGCGCAAGATGCATGGCGGGCGCGAGATGCATGGCGGGCGCGAGATGCATGGCGGGTGCGAGATGCATGGCGGGTGCAAGATGCATGGCGGGTGCAAGATGCATGGCGGGCGCAAGATGCATGGCGGGCGCAAGATGCATGGCGGGCGCGAGATGCATGGCGGGTGCGAGATGCATGGCGGGCGCAAGATGCATGGCGGGCGCGAGATGCATGGCGGGTGCGAGATGCATGGCGGGTGCAAGATGCATGGCGGGTGCAAGATGCATGGCGGGCGCAAGATGCATGGCGGGCGCAAGATGCATGGCGGGGGCAAGATGCATGGCGGGCGCAAGATGCATGGCGGGCGCAAGATGCATCGCGGGGGCGAGATGCATGGCGGGCGCAAGATGCATGGCGGGCGCAAGATGCATGGCGGGCGCGAGATGCATGGCGGGCGCAAGATGCATGGCGGGCGCAAGATGCATGGCGGGTGCGAGATGCATGGCGGGTGAGAGATGCATGGCGGGTGCGAGATGCATGGCGGGTGCGAGATGCATGGCGGGTGCGAGATGCATGGCGGGTGCTAGATGCATGGCGGGTGCGAGATGCATGGCGGGGGCGAGATGCATGGCGGGGGCGAGATGCATGGCGGGTGCGAGATGCATGGCGGGCGCAAGATGCATGGCGGGCGCAAGTTGCATGGCGGGCGCAAGATGCATGGCGGGTGCGAGATGCATGGCGGGTGCGAGATGCATGGCGGGTGCAAGATGCATGGCGGGTGCGAGATGCATGGCGGGTGCGAGATGCATGGCGGGTGCGAGATGCATGGCGGGTGCGAGATGCATGGAGGGTGCGAGATGCATGGCGGGGGCGAGACGCATGACGGGTGCGAGATGCATGGCGGGTGCGAGATGCATGGCGGGTGCAAGATGCATGGCGGGCGCAAGATGCATGGCGGGCGCAAGATGCATGGCGGGTGCAAGATGCATGGCAGGTGCGAGATGCATGGCAGGTGCGAGATGCATGCCGGTGGCGAGATGCATGGCGGGCGCAAGATGCATGGCGGGCGCAAGATGCATGGCGGGCGCAAGATGCATGGCGGGTGCGAGATGCATGGCGGGTGAGAGATGCATGGCGGGTGCGAGATGCATGGCGGGTGCGAGATGCATGGCGGATGCGAGATGCATGGCGGGTGCTAGATGCATGGCGGGTGCGAGATGCATGGCGGGGGCGAGATGCATGGCGGGGGCGAGATGCATGGCGGGTGCGAGATGCATGGCGGGCGCAAGATGCATGGCGGGCGCAAGTTGCATGGCGGGCGCAAGATGCATGGCGGGTGCAATAAGCATGGTGAGCGCAAGATGCATGGCGGGCGCAAGATGCATGGCGGGTGCAAGATGCATGGCGGGTGCAAGATGCATGGCGGGTGCAAGATGCATGGCGGGTGCGAGATGCATGGCGGGCGCGAGATGCATGGCGGGCGCGAGATGCATGGCGGGCGCGAGATGCATGGCGGGTGCGAGATGCATGGCGGGTGCGAGATGCATGGCGGGTGCGAGATGCATGGCGGGTGCGAGATGCATGGCGGGTGCGAGATGCATGGCGGGGGCGAGATGCATGGCGGGTGCGAGATGCATGGCGGGTGCGAGATGCATGGCGGGTGCAAGAAGCATGGCGGGAGCAAGGTGCATGGCGGGCGCAAGATGCATCGCGGGCGCAAGATGCATGGCGGGTGCAAGATGCATGGCGGGTGCAAGATGCATGGCGTGTGCAAGATGCATGGCGGGCGCAAGATGCATGGCGGGTGCGAGATGCATGGCAGGCGCAAGATGCATGGCGAGCGCAAGATGCATGGCGGGTGCGAGATGCATGGCGGGTGCGAGATGCATGGCGGGTGCAAGATGCATTGCGGGTGCGAGATGCATGGCGGGTGCAAGATGCATGGCGTGTGCAAGATGCATGGCGGGTGCAAGATGCATGGCGGGTGCAAGATGCATGGCGGGTGCGAGATTCATGGCGGGTGCAAGATGCATGGCAGGCGCAAGATGCACGGCGGGCGCAAGATGCATGGCGGGTGCAAGATGCATGGCGGGTGCAAGATGCATGGCGGGCGCGAGATGCATGGCGGGTGCGAGATGCATGGCGGGTGCGAGATGCATGGCGGGTGCGAGATGCATGGCGGGTGCGAGATGCATGGAGGGTGCGAGATGCATGGCGGGGGCGAGACGCATGACGGGTGCGAGATGCATGGCGGGTGCGAGATGCATGGTGGGTGCAAGATGCATGGCGGGCGCAAGATGCATGGCCGGCGCAAGATGCATGGCGGGTGCAAGATGCATGGCAGGTGCGAGATGCATGGCAGGTGCGAGATGCATGCCGGGGGCGATATGCATGGCGGGCGCAAGATGCATGGCGGGCGCAAGATGCATGGCGGGCGCGAGATGCATGGCGGGTGCAAGATGCATGGCGGGCGCAAGATGCATGGCGGGCGCGAGATGCATGGCGGGTGCGAGATGCATGGCGGGTGCAAGATGCATGGCGGGTGCAAGATGCATGGCGGGCGCAAGATGCATGGCGGGCGCAAGATGCATGGCGGGGGCAAGATGCATGGCGGGCGCAAGATGCATGGCGGGCGCAAGATGCATCGCGGGGGCGAGATGCATGGCGGGCGCAAGATGCATGGCGGGCGCAAGATGCATGGCGGGCGCGAGATGCATGGCGGGCGCAAGATGCATGGCGGGCGCAAGATGCATGGCGGGTGCGAGATGCATGGCGGGTGAGAGATGCATGGCGGGTGCGAGATGCATGGCGGGTGCGAGATGCATGGCGGGTGCGAGATGCATGGCGGGTGCTAGATGCATGGCGGGTGCGAGATGCATGGCGGGGGCGAGATGCATGGCGGGGGCGAGATGCATGGCGGGTGCGAGATGCATGGCGGGCGCAAGATGCATGGCGGGCGCAAGTTGCATGGCGGGCGCAAGATGCATGGCGGGTGCGAGATGCATGGCGGGTGCGAGATGCATGGCGGGTGCAAGATGCATGGCGGGTGCGAGATGCATGGCGGGTGCGAGATGCATGGCGGGGGCGAGATGCATGGCGGGTGCGAGATGCATGGAGGGTGCGAGATGCATGGCGGGTGCAAAGATGCATGGCGGGTGCAAGATGCATGGCGGGTGCAAGATGCATGGCGGGCGCGAGATGCATGGCGGGTGCGAGATGCATGGCGGGTGCGAGATGCATGGCGGGTGCGAGATGCATGGCGGGTGCGAGATGCATGGAGGGTGCGAGATGCATGGCGGGAGCGAGACGCATGACGGGTGCGAGATGCATGGCGGGTGCGAGATGCATGGCGGGTGCAAGATGCATGGCGGGCGCAAGATGCATGGCGGGCGCAAGATGCATGGCGGGTGCAAGATGCATGGCAGGTGCGAGATGCATGGCAGGTGCGAGATGCATGCCGGGGGCGAGATGCATGGCGGGCGCAAGATGCATGGCGGGCGCAAGATGCATGGCGGGCGCAAGATGCATGGCGGGTGCGAGATGCATGGCGGGTGCGAGATGCATGGCGGGTGCGAGATGCATGGCGGGTGCGAGATGCATGGCGGGTGCGAGATGCATGGCGGGTGCTAGATGCATGGCGGGTGCGAGATGCATGGCGGGGGCGAGATGCATGGCGGGGGCGAGATGCATGGCGGGTGCGAGATGCATGGCGGGCGCAAGATGCATGGCGGGCGCAATAAGCATGGTGAGCGCAAGATGCATGGCGGGCGCAATAAGCATGGCGGGTGCAAGATGCATGGCGGGTGCAAGATGCATGGCGGGTGCAAGATGCATGGCGGGTGCGAGATGCATGGCGGGCGCGAGATGCATGGCGGGTGCGAGATGCATGGCGGGCGCGAGATGCATGGCGGGCGCGAGATGCATGGCGGGCGCGAGATGCATGGCGGGTGCGAGATGCATGGCGGGGGCGAGATGCATGGCGGGTGCGAGATGCATGGCGGGTGCGAGATGCATGGCGGGGGCGAGATGCATGGCGGGTGCGAGATGCATGGCGGGTGCAAGATGCATGGCGGGTGCGAGATTCATGGCGGGTGCAAGATGCATGGCAGGCGCAAGATGCACGGCGGGCGCAAGATGCATGGCGGGTGCAAGATGCATGGCGGGTGCAAGATGCATGGCGGGCGCAAGATGCATGGCGGGTGCGAGATGCATGGCGGGTGCGAGATGCATGGCGGGTGCGAGATGCATGGCGGGTGCGAGATGCATGGCGGGTGCGAGATGCATGGCGGGTGCGAGACGCATGACGGGTGCGAGATGCATGGCGGGGGCGAGACGCATGACGGGTGCGAGATGCATGGCGGGCGCGAGATGCATGGCCGGCGCAAGATGCATGGCGGGCGCAAGATGCATGGCCGGCGCAAGATGCATGGCGGGTGCAAGATGCATGGCAGGTGCGAGATGCATGGCAGGTGCGAGATGCATGCCGGGGGCGATATGCATGGCGGGCGCAAGATGCATGGCGGGCGCAAGATGCATGGCGGGCGCGAGATGCATGGCGGGTGCAAGATGCATGGCGGGCGCAAGATGCATGGCGGGCGCGAGATGCATGGCGGGTGCGAGATGCATGGCGGGCGCAAGATGCATGGCGGGTGCAAGATGCATGGCGGGCGCAAGATGCATGGCGGGCGCAAGATGCATGGCGGGGGCAAGATGCATGGCGGGCGCAAGATGCATGGCGGGCGCAAGATGCATCGCGGGGGCGAGATGCATGGCGGGCGCAAGATGCATGGCGGGCGCAAGATGCATGGCGGGCGCGAGATGCATGGCGGGCGCAAGATGCATGGCGGGCGCAAGATGCATGGCGGGTGCGAGATGCATGGCGGGTGAGAGATGCATGGCGGGTGCGAGATGCATGGCGGGTGCGAGATGCATGGCGGGTGCGAGATGCATGGCGGGTGCTAGATGCATGGCGGGTGCGAGATGCATGGCGGGGGCGAGATGCATGGCGGGGGCGAGATGCATGGCGGGTGCGAGATGCATGGCGGGCGCAAGATGCATGGCGGGCGCAAGATGCATGGCGGGCGCAAGATGCATGGCGGGTGCAAGATGCATGGCGGGTGCAAGATGCATGGCGGGTGCAAGATGCATGGCGGGCGCAAGATGCATGGCGGGTGCGAGATGCATGGCGGGTGCGAGATGCATGGCGGGTGCAAGATGCATGGCGGGTGCGAGATGCATGGCGGGTGCGAGATGCATGGCGGGGGCGAGATGCATGGCGGGTGCGAGATGCATGGAGGGTGCGAGATGCATGGCGGGTGCAAAGATGCATGGCGGGTGCAAGATGCATGGCGGGTGCAAGATGCATGGCGGGCGCGAGATGCATGGCGGGTGCGAGATGCATGGCGGGTGCGAGATGCATGGCGGGTGCGAGATGCATGGCGGGTGCGAGATGCATGGAGGGTGCGAGATGCATGGCGGGGGCGAGACGCATGACGGGTGCGAGATGCATGGC